ATTCTCATATCTTATTAACAAACGAGTATCCATTTACTCTGAAATCATAATTCTTTTCTTGAATATCCGTTATATCCTAAATCACTAAACCGTATAACGGAAAGGCTAGTCGTAATACTTGTCCCGCGATTAGCTGAGTGGCAAATACGATAATTAACTATTTCTTTTCAACGCGTTACACATTTTCTTATCGATACCCCGAACTATAGACTACTGTTTTAATCCCGGCGGTAGAGGATAGTAGTAGATTTCTCGAGAGTAGTTAATTGTCTAGGTTTTAGTGTCTACGACCTAGCGCAGCTAGTAGTACGGAAAAAGCCTATAGGATAAATAGGTCACTAACTGTTCGTTACGATTAGCTATCGCTGAGGTGAGCCACGCACTTTCGAAGGCGCAGCTAAATCTCAAACCGCGTCAATAGTCATACGCTCTCCCGTGACCGTTGGCACGACATTATTATGAGAAAATGAATATTAATATGGGTTTATACATCATGGAGATTTTGTATGACACAAGCATTTATTTACAGTATGTCTTTGATATCTATGAATTATGAGAAACATTAGTGTCAGTGTTATTTTATGTTGATGTTGTGCATTGCTTTGAAAAATTTCTGGCACAGATTAGCCATAAGTCATCAAAATTAGAGAATTGACACATGGGGCAGACTGCAACAAAACCAGACAAAGTGAACATTCTTAAATAAGAGCTGGTGTGGCTGAAAGTTAACTAATTTGACTGATGACGTTTTGAAAAGTAATAATGGTGCTCATTCATACTTATGGACTGGTTAATTTTAATGCTCCCTTTATCATACCAGAAGGTGAGGAATATAAACCATAACAGGAGTAATATATATAGGACTATCTCTATATAAAAAATATAATATGAAACTAATTTACATTAAATCCACTATGGAACCCAAGAATTACAGCACTATTAGAAGTATTCTAAAAAAAAAACAAGGAGAGAAAATTGCTCCCTATGTTTTTAAAATCAATCATACCCAAACTCTCCAGGAATATCTAGATAAAGAAAAAATCACTTACGAAATTTACCAAGAGGTACGAAAAATAATAAATATTAAGAGAAAAAAGCAGGATAATGATGTACAATTACAATTACAAAATAAACGGCAAAATTATCTGAACGAAAATTTTTAATCCAAACAAGCTTACCATCTATTTCAGCTTTTATTAATGAGATTTCTAAACAATATTAATGTTCCATTCTCACTGTAATTTATAAAGTTTTCTTTATTTTTAAACAGTTGTTTTACTCTTTTTTTCTTTCTTTTTTTTTTTTTTTGTAAAACCATTTTGTAAACATATAGTATATAAATAAAAAATCATGAGTAAAAAAGAATGTTTTAATTGTCATAACACAAAAGAAGGCTTAACTATTGATTGATGAGATGAAGAAGATAGAGAACATATTGAATTTTGTTGTTGAGGATGTGCTGAAACTTTGTTACAAAAAGAATTAGATGAAAACACTGCTGATTGAGAAAGGAATAAAAAGAAAATTTTTAAGGAAGCTTTAACCAAGGCTAAAAATAAAGAAATTTTTGATTGGCCTTTCAGAGTAAGAACTCTTAATCAAAAAGGGAGTGGAAGATGAGATCGGATTACTATCTGTTGTCCTCAATGCAAAATCATGTTGGATTGAGATGTCACTGCTTATGAAGACAATCGAGGACATAAATGTTCCCAATGTCGTAATTGTCATAAAAATATTGAAAGGGGTAAACAAAATGATCATTTCACTTGAAAACGCCGCACAGCCACAGCGCCACGGCCACAGATGATAATGCTCCGAGTTATATTTGTCCAAAAAATGCTGAAGGAAGTGAAATAGTTTGCCATATGTGTGACAAAAATAGAAGTACATAAAAAAGGAATGCTTAGTATTAGGTCTCGAATCAGTGACTTAGGAGGTACCATTACTGCAGGGGGTAGTTTTAAGACAAAACTCCAAAGGTCATGTATCATTGTGTACTAAGCGCCATGCTGACACCTTTTACTTTGAAGAATTACTAGGCAGGAATGAGCTGATATTTTACCTGTGTTTAGGAACTGTGTAAAAAATTGGACAAGGTATATAATAATAATCCAGCAGGCTACAGAGTTAGTATTAGTATACCAATATTAATATCCCCATTTGGTACCCAAAACCCAACCCATTTATATGCGAATTGTTCCTAAATATAAAGAAGGTTATGGAAGTGTAGAAATCAAAAGTGTGTTAGGAAAAAGTTTTGCCCTAGAAGTGGCAGAGGATGCAAAAAAACTTTTCCAATTAACAGATAACAATACTATTGTTGCAAAAAGGAGTAAAATTGTTGCCAAATTACACATTGAAATAGGAAATATAACCATTTCTACCAAAAATCATTTACCTAATGATATCAATGTGGTGGACCAAGAAACTTGAGACCAAATTGTAATTGGTGAAGTCTGTCAAGAACTTATACAAAAAATGAAATTTGCATCGTTTGCTGGTGGTTTTACTATCAAATGTGAACTTAAGGAAAAGGGTACACAATTATGAAGAAAAGAAGCAGAAATCCCTTCAAATTACAGTCAAACTTATCCTGCATCTGAATTTTCGATATTACTTTTCCTAGATTCAAGATACAAAAATGATGAAGACAATTCAGACCCCAAAAAAACAACCAATTTTCTAGGCACGATGGAAGATGAGCGAGTTGCTGAAAAAATAAGAGATCCAGATGCCTACTATAAAAAGTGAAATAAAACTCCCCGAGTTCAATTAGAAAACCAACTTAATAAGCTAGAAAAAGAGAGATATTATTGAATGGGTGGTTGTGGAATAACATTGTTTCTTTTAGCTATCCTGGTTATTAAACTAGTTAGAATTAAGAGAAATAAGAGTTAATTATGTCATCTAACACTTTTTGATTTAGTATAAAATAAAAAATTACTCAATTACATTTTGTACTGGCTTGGGACAAGTAATGTCTCTAAATTCATCTCTAACAAATGGGCGAATATTATGATAAAGGTATTCTTGTCTTTTGTAATCTAATGGAGGCGGTGTTAATATTAAAATGGATAAAGATTTAATTTCTTTGGTAATTTCAGAAACATTTGCTTTTCTGGTTTTCAATAAATTAAATTCGGTAAAAGCACCATGAGCAACCAGCTGGGCTTTGACAACTCCAGGATTGGCTGCTTCAAATAGAAAATGTTGATATTTTTGTAAACCGCTCAATTTTTTAAAGAAAAACCTTTCCCCTTGTCATAGCACTGAGCTTTGTTTAAGCCCGCTATGCTCGATCTTTTCACAACCTTAACAATATGATCCACGCAATCTACCGTTGTTTTGCGGTATAATTTCTTAATCAATCCGAAACTACCATCACACTTAAATTTAGTATGTCCTGGTACCATAAAATTTAGTTCGATACTTTCATATAGCCGCAGATTACTAAATACAAGTAAAATCAAATAGTGGCGTTATTTTTATTCTGCCCTCCCGCATTATCGCAAGTAATCTTTAAACGGTTTTCGCCTTTATTTAAGTTCTTTATTCCATCGAATACCAGGCTCAACGTACCATTAGGGCCTTTGCCGATAATTTCGTCTTCATCAAGAACGTAATTAATTTGTTCGCGTGCGGCTTCATTTTGAATACCAAATAAATGTACTTTACGCGGACTAAGATAATAAATTTTACTTACCTGTTGATCAGAATGGGGTACGTGAACGTTTTGCGCTCAATCGTAACTGTAATGAGCAGTCGCGTTAACGCTACAATAATCAGCTTTACCTCCCATTACATGATAATTCTCGTCTACTAATTTTCTCTGTTGTTCTGCTAATTTCGTATTTTTGTTGTAATAATTTTTTTCTAATTTGGCCTTAACTAAATGTTCTTTAAATTTTTTTAGTAAGTCTCTCGCTTCTTCCTCCTTGCGAGAATTATACTGTAAGCCGTTCCGAAAATGTTGGCACGTGTCACATAAATCTGTTCTCGGACTCATAATTTGAATATAAGGCGTTAATTGGTGCCATAACTTACGAAACGCATCATATTTTAACAATTTCAATGTGCTATCATTTTCGGGACAAGCTAAAGTCGCGATAGACCGACTTGTAACTCGTTTCGGCTGGCAAAAGTGTAAGAGATTGAGTAATTCGGTTGGCATTTCTACCAGGACTTGGTAGTCCATGGATTTCAGCATAGTTTTCGAGAAAATTTTTCACGGCGGTAGCCACGTTTATATCAATGGTTATTTTGGTTTTTCATCGCGGCATTTGTTTGATATTACCATGAACACGCGGTATTATACCATTCATCGATAGGTGATTTCTGACGTTTTCGAAGTGTGTGCGACCAATTCCTAGCATATTTAGATACGTTTTTTGACAAAGCGGCGTATTGCGATCTCAGTAGTAAAACGTTCGGTTATTAGTACGCGTTTTCTTTTAAGACGTCGACTGGCGGTCATTTCTCCACCATCCATTGCTTTCAACTGGGCCATTAGAAATATATCTTGTTCGGATCTAGAGAGAGCTTGAAACGCCTCACGTAATTCAGCAAAATTCTCTCTTGGAACCATTGTTGAGCAACCACAACTACAACTTATATCCAAGAAACGTATTGCTTTTTCGTATTCGTTGGAACTGTTAGATTCATTATTCTTCATATACGGGTAATCCTATATATAGTTTTATCGTTCATGTTGCATTAATTTTGATAATTGCGTTGATCGAAATTTTAAATCGATTGACCATAGTTACTTGCATGTTTCAAATAAATTCGTTCTCAGGAAAAATACTATAATTGCTAATGCTAACATCAAACATTACTATTAATACATTCCCAAATTCATACTGCAAGCAATAATGCTAATTAAATCATTCTACTCTCTCCATTAACTCAACTGAACAGGATGAACAGGACACAAATACAAAGTCTGAAAGAAGAGATCAAATATACGCAAGCAATTTTATTTGATACAAATCATTAATAGATCATACACTATTGAAGCTGTTATTTAGCATGTACAAGTCATGATCTGGCAGAATTTTTGCTCCAGCTTTGACATCAGGGTGCCAATCAATATCTGGATTCAGGAGAGGTGGGTAAACAGCCTCTCCAACCTTACCAGACCAATCAAAGTCTATTATCTTTACTGAATCATTGGGACCAGTCATGATGTTTGAAAGTCTCATATCACCATGCACAAAACCCTGGTTATGCATTTTCTTTACTGACTCCATTGTTTTCTTCTGTATTGATAGCTTTTTGTCTTGAGCAAGAGAGGATAGTGATCCATATCCCATCAGTTGTTCCATAACCACAACACACCAACCACCAGGAATCCATTTACAAGAAAACAGTCTTGGTGCAATTCCCAGTCCCTGACAAGTGCTATGGCACTCCTCAGAATATCTCTTAGCAAACTTGACAATCACATGTTGAGATAATCCATTATCATGTTCCATTTTTGCTTGAAAAATATAACGATCTAACTTCTTGACATAGATGATGTTGGCAACAACCTGCCCAATATTCATTTTGCTAATGTATGGAAAAGATATCTGCTGACTCAGTTTGATATTGCTGTCATGGCTCAGCTGGTCATAGAATATTTCCAAATCATTGAGGGCTATCTTCAAAGCTTTGAGCACACAAGCAGTCCTCAGTAACATGTCTTCATGGTGAGGACGATAGAAGAGGGGCATTACAGGTGTGAGAGGTTCACACACTGGTGTTGTCAGAAACACAGCCCCAGCTACACCCAGGTATGGCCCTGCAAAGTTTAATAAAATGGTTAAGAATGCAATCAAAAAAGCAATAGAATCAATACAGTAATTGCTGTTATGTATATACATTGAATAGACTAAAATTGTTATTCACACATACCTGCTAAATACATCAAAAATACTGGAAATCGAGATTGGGTAATTACAGAGCTATTACTGTCTTTTAATTTCTTGATAAATTCTACGTAATAGGCAGTTGATTGCACATACGGACACCCACTTCCCATCCCAAGCTCTGGCTTCACCTCTAAGTTCAGCAGAGGTACTTGGAAGTTGCCCTTTGTAAACATAAGACTGCCATCTGTTCCTCGTTTATTTCCAAAGGTATGGATGTCAAACACTCTGGAGAAATAACGACCTACTAGTTTATGGAAACAGTCTCTCCTCTCAGCCTCATCATCAAAAATGGAGCACATCTCATTTGAAAGGTTCCTAACAAATACAATGTCCTCTTCAACCAACTCAATGCTGCCATTAGCATTATCCTGAAACTTGGCCAGGATGTCATTACATAATGAGACAGGTAGACCAGTTAACCCAGCTGGACGATAATTAAGGGCAAGGGGATCATCTTCATTTTGGAATCTAATAAATTTTCTAGTATCAGCCAGCTCGGATGGAGGTATGTTGACTTGTTGGATTTTTTTGAAGAAACGGTTTCTTCCTTCAGTATCATCTTCAGTATCATCTTCAGTATCATCTTCAGTATCGCGCTTTCTTTTTTTATCTGAAAATGAACAGTTAGTATGTATGAGATAGGTAAAAACATGACAAGTGCTGATTGCAATACCAAACGTTCGCTCAGATGCTACACTTCGCTCCAGTCCCCAAAACGTTCTCTCATAGAAACCATGTGAATACAATGAACAAAATCCACTCGAGCTATATATTTAACGTTTTGCCAAATAAAACTATCTCTACTCTACCCACGTACACACTACTCTATGTCCCCAACGCCCGAGTCACAGAGCCGTTACCTGGCTGTACTAGCAACTCTGTTCTATGTCCCAACACCAACGTATGTCTATGTCACAATGCATTCCAACTATTCTCCTTTATTGCTAACTTGTTAAACAGAATATTGGAAGAGCAGTTCTATGTCCGCCAAGAAAACATATTACCACATCTACTCTACACTATGCACACACTACTCTGTCCCCAATGCTCTACCCTAAGTACACTACTCTATGTCCCTAACACCCGAGTCACAAAGTCGTTACCTGGCTGAGCCTGCGCCTGTCGCACATCTGCGTCCCGACTCGCCCACACTTTCCTGCACAGTTCCACGGCCTCCTCCAGCCTCTTCTCCTTCGCTGCGAGGTCGTCCAATGTCTTCTGCTGCCTCGCAGTTAACACTCCTCCCCTCCCCTCGTTCCCCCTCAATTCCCCCAACAGCTTCCCTCCATTCTCGTCCCCCGCGAAGTCCGCCAACGCCGTCTCCGCCTTCAACAGCTGCTCTTCCGCCTTCTTTAATGCTTCAATTTTTTCAGTGGCCATTTTTTCGTTTGTTTTGGAAGATTAAGATGGCTGCGCGAAGTGATCTAATATACTAACGTCGATCAGTGGCTTGATCAATGACGTGTTACTAGGAACTTTCTAGACCTTTTCATAATTGTAACTATTGTTCCCTATATGCAGAAGGTGGCCAATGATAATCAATGCGCAGAAATTCGCGTTTGTCTAATAATCGTCCGCAGTGTATGATGAACAAACGGATATTTTATTATAAAACAACACTGGTTAACTTTAGAAATCAACCACAACGCAATAAATATCGTCAAATCAATACATCGTTTAAAGCAATAAAACAAATCTGTCAATTTCCACCGACAACACTACGAAAAATGCTCACATTCACAAGCGAATTCTTTTTTGGAGTATTCATTGGCTTTGTTCTCGGCCTGTTGCTAAATGGCACAATTTATAATAACCAACTCCACAACATGGGACTATTAACCAAGATCATAAAGTCCAGAAGTTGTCAAAAACGAAACCATCGGCGAACAAAATTTATTCGCCAGATATCGAAACGTTGTGGAACGCTTTGAGACAATTATACGATAAACGAATCGAATTAGATTCAAAATTTTCGTTTAACGAAATGGCGTTTGAAATTTCCAAATTGCTGAATAAACAAAAGATCATCGCTGCATCAACAATAAGAAATTTTTACCTTCGACGAACAACTCCGCGGAAAAGACGATCGAAGCAATCCAACGTTGGATCGACGAAGAGAAGAAGAAAGATGTAAATCATTTAGATGGGGAAAATGAAAATAAAGAAATAGATAATAGCGATAGTACAAAAGATAATGAAATTTAAATTTGCACCAGGTGACCAAAGAACAGGTTATACTCATTAATGGCTTTGGGTCCGAGTATTTTTCTCCCATGCAATCACTCTGGTGCTTTAGTATTATTTATATTTCAAGAGCGTGCATTCGATAATCGAACAATTAAAATTTATGCTTACGAAGAAATTGAATTATTTTTATGTTGTTTGCCTTCTTTAATTGCATTGTGTCAAAGTAGTGAACGTGGTCAAAGCTCAATAAATGTACTCAAACGGTTCTTTATCTATAAGTCAAAACTATAAGGAATGCTAAACTGCTTTTCCTTCCCTGTCTTCTAATTTGCGTTTTTTTCTTGGTTCATTATAAGTTAGGGTTAATGTTCGTTTATGGTTTATTATTTTGCGTTTTTCCTGGTAAATTTCATAAGTAATTTTTTCTTGATCTAGATACTCCTGGAGAGTTTGGGTATTATTAATTTTAAAAACATAGGGAGCAATTTTCTCTCCTTGAGCTTTCTTTAAAATACTTCTAATGGTGCTGTAATTTTTGGGTTCCATGGTCGATTTGATGTAAATTAGTTTCATATTAATATTTTTATATATAGAGGTAATCCTATATTAATACTGTTATGGTTTATATTCATCACCTTCTGGTATGATAAAGTGAGCATTAAAATTAACAGGTCTATGAGCACCATTATTACTTCTCAAAACACACTGGTCAATTTTACAGCCACATCATAATCAGCCTCTCATTTATGTCACATAATAGAATGTTCACTTTGTCTGGTTTTGTTGCAGCATGCCCCAGATATTCACTCACCACGACTGCTTTCACAACATTTCTGTAAGTTTTTCGAAGTCTTGGCTATCAAAGACGGGACGAACCACGTGTGCCAATCGTTAATCTGAAGAGCAACAATTGGTTATCAACTAGTGCTAAATTTCGAAAACGTGATTGGTTCCAAAATATTGCGTAAGAATGTAACTGCGAACCTTTGTTATGACAAATTCTTAGTAATATCCACAATCTCATCTCCTGCTGATCATCTCTATATCTGGCTTCTATATCGAACTTGGATACTAACAATAAAACACAAATGTACTAGAACAAAGATACAAGATAGATTTTTAATTACACGAGACGAAAGTTTACTAACGTAACCGTCACTATCATTACTATTGCCCGCACGGACCTTTTAGTGCTATAGTGTCACGTTTCGACAATTTCGTGAACAAATCAAACTCGACCAAGGACGGGAATCTATTTGATATAGAAAATTAAATTAATATCCAACATTGAAAACCGATATTACCAAAAACAAACATTTTCCCATGTGGCGCCCAACTACGGGATCGGTTAGCGTTGCAGTTTAACAAGAATCCAATAACTACCGGAAGCAACTCTGTACTCAGGGTGTCTGCATACTCGTCATCCATTGCATTGTTTTTGTTGTTGACGATAACATTAAGGGGGTGTCGCTGGGTCTCGTACAATACTGAACGTGTATGGAAGGAAACCCGTCACTATTGAAAGCGCCCTTCCAAAGTTCCCATAACATCAGCGTGGGAACTCGAAAAAAAATTGTCCCATACCCTCGCTATCGGGAAATGTCGCCAAAGATTGTTAAGAAATGGAGTACATCGATAAGATTTTTTTTTGAGACGTTATTGTTATTTGATTAGAGTTTGCCCTCGTCCGACGTTGGAGTAAGCTTTACGTCAAATTTGGTTAGATTTGGAAACTCAAAATTTAATGTTTGGAATAAAAATTACAAAGACCGTACTCCAATGTGTGATCAATAACCGTGAAGAATGCGGTAGAACAAAAAAAAAAAAAGAACATTCGAAAACTAGCAACAGAATATATTGATGTTACACTCACTATTAAATGGAAGCCAAGAGAATGACATCCGAAGTTACAATAAAGAATAAGTGGAATCTTTTGATATTCGGCAACCCCGGATATCGATTGTCCCGTTAGAAAATCAAATTCCAGTGCAAATTGTAAATTGTTTTCTTTCTTTAGCAGACAGCCTACATCCACACAGAAGGTTTTCTGAAACCCCTGGACTGGTTGTTAGACGTATCGGATCGTTCCAGAAGCACAGCAGCAAAGGAGTCAAACTTGTTCGTCCGTTTTATTTTCACGAAAAACCATGAACGAGCGCTGGTTGTTAAATGTCTCAAATAGTCGAACCCGTTTTTGCGTTTTGTTGACCGACGATAGATGAATCGCTAAAGACGGACTGTTGAATAATGCATTTATGACCATTGCATATATGCATATACATGTATCTCATAATATTTACCATAATGAGTTCTACGACAGACGCATTTCTGAAGAGAAGCAAACACAGACGTTGTAGTAACCTGCATCGGTTAACCAATACTCGCTTCCCAATCAAACAGGTTTGTTGGTCATCCCGAAATGGAACAAGCGCCACTTGACAGTCAAAGGTATACTCGATTTGTTAACATCCTAATGCGACCGTATAATTTCACATGCTTCAAAAGTTCGTTTACCAAATTAGTCACAAAGTCATTCAGATTTCCGACTGCCTTCGGATGCATGCCATAACCAAGGTAGAAGCACATGGTCTAGGGAGAAAAAAACAACTGTTCAACCTCGACGTTGCGTTCATCCGGCCGGGAAATGTGTTTGGTATAATTCGGCGAGTGGCCGAAAATGCGAGTAATCGGGAGGTCGAACAAAATTTGTGGTAAAATTATTTGATCGCTTACCGGATTCTTTCTTGGCTTCAATGGTATATAGTATTGTACCAAAACGTTAGTATTGTTCCTCTGCGAAATTGTTACGATTGTGTATTCTTACTATGAACACATCGACCAAATGTATGACGGAAATGCCTCGCAAATTATCTAGCGTTGCACGCTTGGCTGTGAATTTTGATATAGATCCAATATCGAAAAATATCAGTCTGCTTGAACCTGCATTTGAAGATTACCAATCATTAGCAACTATTCGGTCTACATTAGTTTTGCAACTCACCGTGGATCATTACACGACAGCTCAACACAGCCAGTCGGAATTACTGTGGTATCGGTAGAAATACTATACGATTTGTAGGCGAGTATAGACAATAAACCAACAAGCGTTGCGGTAGCGAAATACGGTTAATATAATGTGTGTTACCTGTGAGGTTTCCACAAAAAAAAAACTAGTAATAATCATAACACATTACATGGAATGCCAATGATCAGGGCATTGCTTTTTCGTTTTGACCGGTAGTAGTATCACTTTGGGATAAATCCACCGAGTATTTGTCAAGATGGGCAGAGTAATGACATTCGATATGTCATTCGCCAAGCCGTGCTTACCATCTCTTTCGATGTAATCTTGCAATTGCGTGATACTTGATCGATGCTGCATTGCAATATGCAGACATCCAGTCATCACTGGGATGTTAATTATGCGATATTTTGTGTTAACATTATAACCCCCCAAAAAATTTGCTAACATTTTCAAAGACATAATAAAATTTTCGTTATTCTTTTTTTCTTTACTAAATTCTCTGGCAAATATCACTTATGATTGAATTCATGTGATGCCCGATGAAACTCAACAGGTGACATGTCAATGATATTCCAAAGACTTTCGAGTCTGTTGCATGTGAAGTCGGGTGATTGAAATGTATCTGCTATGTAATAGACGTTTCATATGGCAAAGATGAGCACGCCATGTTTGCAGAAAAAGAGATGATCATACGAGTAACCCGTCCCATACCATTGCAATTGGAACCAATACTTCGTCGGATACCCGCACCAATTGTCACGTCATTTCCCCTACTAAATTTTTAACCTTTTATTTGACCAATCCTCGGTATAAGCTTGATGAGTATGTAAGATATTACATTGATCAATTGTATAACTTTAAAAAATTTAATTTTCAACGTTATTATTGGGGAGAGGTATTACGATCATCAAACTACATTACCATTCTTTGAACTATTTACAATACGTTAGTTGCTTACGCCATTTTAGCCGCCTCCCTACGTCTGGTTGGTATTCATTATTCGACAAATACTCTTCTCCCTTCCACCATGAGGGTTCTCTCTGTACTACATCCTCTTGGATAATACGGAACATTGCGATTATCAGATATCTTGTAATCCTTTTCTGGAACACTGGCATCAGAAAAGGTCATCGCTGTGCTATCAAGGATCATCTCAAATAGTTTCAAATAAAGCGAAATTCTTGTTTGAAGATCTTTGTTTGGTTTGGGATGAAGAGAATATTGCTTTTTTCGACAAAGAAAAGGGAAAAGAATGTTTGAATTAGGCAATAGATGTTCGACAGATTACTATTTTGTTAATTCATTGACCAAATGGTATTCACAATGACATTTATGGTAATAATGAAACAATTACCGCAAAGCACATGACACACTTCTTTCGAATCTCTCGAATCTGATCGGCAATGGACACTCGTCGGATAGATGTATTGTCTGCTGATGAGATTGTTCCTTCCTTTGATTTAATAATAATTTATGCAAGAGGGATAAACTTAATTTGCCCTACATCATGTAGAGAGACTATCATTTCGTCATGGCATGATGGTCCTTGCAAGAAGCTATCTTTGAGGATATCCATTGCTGTCGATAATCTGGGAAACTCCTTATTGTTCTCTGAACCCATGTCATATATTTGCGTAAGAGTGAGAAACCTTATGTCTACATATAGATAAAGATAAGGGTACAGACTGCAGTTTATCAAAATGGCTTGGGGATTGACAACAAATTCTCACGATTTCAACTCGTACATATTTTTTTTTTTGCTTTGGGGACCTTTTTCCAATGTTGTGTCTTGCCGAGTACTTGTTTCTCGAGAAGGTATTCGTATGGGCTGTGGAAAGTCTTAATTAAATTCTAAGAACGAATAGATTGGTATGTTGTATGCAAGTGTCATAATATATATATGGTGAGTATTATATAAGTCACGAGACTTGTGGCGGAGTGTTAAATTCGGATAAATTAGTTTCGGGGTGGTATTGATAAGAAAAGATAGAGCGTATACTGAACTTGGAATAAGTCCAAGACATTGTTACTTGCTTGGTTGTAACTATTTTTCGTAAGCACATATTTTAATGTATCAGCATTCTTTAAAATCATATGCAAAGACGTTGTTGAGGACAATGAAAGCTGTACAATCACGAGTATAACAAAATATATTATGTTGAATTCTATGCGATATCAATAATGCAGTAATAGTAATGATATTAATATATGCTGCTGTACCACAATACACAGATTACACAAGTTATTTATATACATTTAGTCTATCATTTACAGGGAGAATTTTCTGGTTGTGGATAATATTTAGAATAAGCGGAAAACAAAAGATCAACTGATCATCAAGGCTGTGACCCATAAAGGAATCATATATCTCTTCAGGCGTATTCACGCGCTTCGTGCATCGTTACATAACCGCCCTGTTTTCGCTAACATCACCAACAATTAGCGCCTGACAGAATTGTAGTTGCCAGTTCCGTGTTACCCCAATAATCCATTAAATTACATTATTCTACCGTTCCCCCCAACCCAATTTTTTTTCTGTTCTGTCTCTCCTGAGAAAATTTTATCCTCTCTTTCTTATCCATTCTCGACACATTTAAAAAAAAGCCTCTGGGTTTAGAGACACTCATAATAATATCGCAATGGTCGTAATGATTTCAAGAACATTATCCGAAAAGGAATTACATTCCAAACTAAAAAAGATATTCACAAAGATAGGATGTCTGGACAAGGCGCAAGAGGTAAGATATTGAATAGAAACAATAGCAAACAAAGAATGAAAGAGAATAATAGAAAAGCAAGTACGATAACGTAATAGCATGAGTACTACACAGGATAGAGAATGCTTTCAAAGAAAGGAACAATGAACGAAAACGTAAATACTCATGTCCACTTCTCCAACCACTTATCAATGTTTCCGACTCTACCATCGCATTATCTTTAGGGCATCCGGGATTTATACGACCTTCTCCTAGAACACCCAGAGTGTGACTCAAAAGTAAACGCATTCCTTGAACATACTGGAATATTTTTCCGCAGATACATACGAAGCGCATTGGCCGAGATAACGACCGTAGAAATGAAAAAGTGCGGATTACTCCCGAGTACGCCTGCACCCATCAAAAGAGAAGTGCGCACAGTACCGTTTGATGATTTATCGAGTCCGGCAGAAAGTCAAAGTGATAGTGACATCACTCTCACGGGAAGTTCCGCTCCATCGACCCCCGGGACACCCGGTTCACCTGCCGTAACTGAATTACCCCATATAGGAGGTTGGTATATTCTAGTCCGAGACATTATACTGAAAATTGAAATTATCGGTTATCGTCAAAACATACTGATGGGGTTGTGCATCACATCAACAATAGGATTCAAGGATAAATTCGCCAAAGAAACGTTTGAACAAACACGTTCTCGGCTACATTCAATATTCCAGTATGAAAAGTACAAGGTCAGTAGCGGTATTAACTGAGCATTATGATTTTGTTTGAGTCGCATTTCCCACAGTCAATAACTGAAACATTTTGTTATTATTTCTGATAAAATAGAACGGACAGCGGAGGTCTAGTCTTCCAAACATGTCACAAAACGACGCTGAGCGTCTTGCATATGTAAAAGACATTATAAATTCATCTTCGCATATACGACGGTCATCGTGGAATCATACACCATCTCCACTTATACCGACAGAACGATTCGGGTCGATACCCAGCAGAAAATTCAAACATATTAATTTGGAATAATATTTTATAAAGTAACCCGAAAATAATAGAACACTTTTTTTTTTAAAAAAACTATTAACAAGACTATATTTCTACCCAAGTTTCTGACGATTCGGTCTAGTCGACTGAAAAGTATTTTTACATATAATTATCAATACGACGATGACATATTTATAACATTAGAGTCGTTTGGGTTATCTTTCGGACATATTCCAATCTTTATACGAACACTCTTTCTTTACAAACTTCACATTTTTTTGGGATGAGATATACTTATGTAGACTCGTTTTTGATGTTAAGAGAGCCTAGAATTGGATTATACTGTCAGAATGTAAAGTATTATTTTGTATATACATACGTTTTTTATTTCACATTGGATAATTGATCAATTGTAACTTATATTAGTCAGTGTGGCGATTAGAGAGAATAAGATATCAATAAACTTGCATTATGTCTCTCAAGGAGAGAGATTTTACCATACTCGATGATGTTTCATTTCCTTCCCCGTTTTCATCTTCCCTCCAATATACCCCACATCTGCAATATTGTGGAACAGATTGGCTTTGCATCTGCAAACTTCTGCACATTCGTTCCGTCTATAGGTTGGCAACTTACACTTTGGGCTATTTATGTACACCCAAGACTTCAGGAGTAACTCACATTTATTTTTAGACCGTAAAGAACACATATTTTTCTAGGCGAAACGATATGAAACGAAAGGCCGGAGATTTTGAGCCGTGTTTATAGTTACTGGATTTAGGATAACAAGGCAAGGGTCTCATTATCGAATGTCCTGATTAAGGTTTTGTGGTTTTTGTGGTAAGGGACAGACACAAAGACTACTTCAATACTAATACAAACTAAACTTTTATAGAAGAATAAAATTTTTTCTTTTTTTTTCCCCTTCTTTTTTTTCTCTTTTCTCTTTTTTTCTTTTTTTTTTCTCTTTTCTCCTTTTTTCTTTTTTTTTCTCTTCATTATTTCTCCCCTCGACAATGTGTGTAATCTATTTGTGGGGCTGAATGAGTGTCTATAGTTACGCACACTTTGACTTTCGTACGCACACAGAACGGCTGCATGGGATTATTAATTTCAGAGATTCTTTTGAAATAATTGCATTAAACCTTTCTTTGAATATCATAGTAAGTATAAGATTGATTGCGGTTATGAGAATTAATTTCCCAAAAAGATTTCGAAAGAAAACAGCGTACCACGTAACGTAAAGCTCATAATTAATTGTATGCTTACTTTCGATGAACGGATCTTTCAAAAACAAATTGTTAAGGTTTAGTCCCAAAAGTAATAATGAGAACAATTAACTTAAAGCCCATTGTTATATTAAAAGTCTGCAAGTATTTTAATGCGCTTTACTAATCAAATAATCTATGGATTCCTAATTTAGTATTGTGGACTGGTTTCGAAACTTGTTGGATCAGAATGTAAATACCCGACGAAAAAGATGTGGTACTAAAATTCAGGATTTCTTGTTATACCGTTGAAAACTTTAATGCAGCGTGTCACATAACGCTATTTTCTATATTAATTCATAGCCTGCTCAGAGGCACAAGAAGCCAAATTAATTTAATTAATTTAGCCAAATCAGTAATAATTAGATTTGCCAATAAAGGTTGACATATTGTTTATGATAAGGGGCCGAGGCCATCACAGTCTGCGTCTTTGTCGCATTTGTAAACAATGAGTCTAACAAACATACTCATGATGTTTGGTGCGGTGCAAGGTTAAGTAATCATAATCATTTTTCTCGTAATAAATTCTTTCACTTTCATCCGTGAGTGGTTATTCATTATTTCATCTGTTATCGTCGAATTGTCAGTGATATTTCTTATCTAATAAGATTATATTTACCTGATTACAAATCGGTAGACCTTTTCAAGCCTCCAAACGATTTTCATTACAAACAAAAAAATGTCACTTTGACTTGAAAAGAAAGACTTTGCCAAAGTAGTGTTAGTCTAAAAAAACATTTTACAGTGCAACAGCCAATAGTGAGTGTCACTAGCAATAACGTTAGTATTTGTACCGCCCGAAGAAGTCGCGATAAACATTTGATAACACTTATCAGTTTCTTTTTTAGAAAAACCTGTTTCTGATAGGATTGTATTTTGGTAGATGAATTTTCATATAGGCGTATCGGGCGATAAAGAGAATTAATCGCACATCATCACTAGAAAAAATAGATAAAGACTATTCCAACTTTGTTAGCGGCCGTTCTCCGACTGGGTAAAAAAATATTGAGGATATGCGACTGCAAAAGAAACCTCGCAATAGTATAATGTATAGGACTAATGCGATCAGCGAAGGAATAATAATAATTCGGACAATCGCCCACGAGAATACGTCGATGGGCCACACTTTGTGTTATCAAATAGCAGGGCAGAGCAGGGCAAGGCAGGGCCAAGGCAGGGCAGGGTAGGGATGATATCCGCTCGGCTCTATCTCCCCTACGGACATTTAATCGGTCCAGCGTTGTGCGTAATATTAGTTTGACGTTGTCATTTTGATATACAGCCCATTTTTGATTGCATGTGACGACGGTGATTATTGAATTAATTAAGCTAATACGTAAAATTTTCCTTTGCCCAATCGTATATTAACGATAATCATTACATCATAAAGAAAGGATTATGGCCAACTTTACCAATAATAGCAGTCGCATGTGGACAAGATCTACCAAAATCAACCAAAATCAACCACTTTAAAAGCTATAAGGCCGAAATGTGTCAATAAAAAACCCGAAATCTTTGACCAACAGAATTTTCAAACCTTAAATTGATATTCGCAAGTAAACATTATTATTATACAATATTAAGAAGCGTTATCATTTTCCCTTTTATCTGTCATAATAAAAGTATTAAAATTTGATAACCGATGCACCAATAACGAGGTATCAGCGTTTGTTTGCGAACAGTGGACCAAGCAACAACGATCACATAATTGAAATAATCACATCACTGAAATAAATCACATTCTTTGTTTATCATAAACATTACGGGTTAGTCACGAATGCAAAAATAGGCAGAAAGAAGCTTTGGTATAAATATTATTATTAAGCCCGTGAGATTATTTGCAGATGTTTCCAAAACAGAAAAAATTTCTAAATACGAGAATATGACTCTCAAAAAGGCAACTTCTCCGAAGCTGGTAAAAAAAAAACTAACACTGAAAGAAATCTTATAAACAAAAAAGCTTAACAAGATACAATACTATATACAACAAATTTTTATACCGCAAATACTATTTTTTTGTCATCCTGAAATTATAACTGTGTTAGCATAAATTTATAAAAGCATTAATATTAACTGTGATCGTAGTAACATTTACAAAACCAGGCTAAATATCACATGTTCGTAGATTGCAGTAAGATGCGCGTTCTGTGTTATCATATTTTAACAAAGCCTCAGACATTACGTCTATGATTAATTACAAACTTGACGAATTAAACAAAACGTTTTGCTGATTTAGTAATGTAACTACTTATACAGGAATAAGTCTGATTTATGATTCATTCTACACAATCTGTCATATAATTTTTTACGCTCTCTCACATTATGTACCACTTGTAAAGCCCAACTCTAGTGTATAAAATAAAACAATATTTGCTCTACGGGGCTCCGAGTATTTATTTGATAGAGCTATGAAACCAAATCGAACGTTTTATTCCAAAGTTTTCGGATAACACCATACATTTAAGCTATGAAAGCAGAGTCTTAATTCTAACATACAATACGTTTTCGTATAAAATTATTATTAACATATTAATATTTTTTTTGCTGAGGTTATTGATGCAATATATTATTGAGATTACACAAATAAAGCAAGTATATCGATAAAAAGGCTCAAAAATTTGTCAATTATCAGTTATGCTTCCAGGGACCCTTGGCTAGCATAAACACTTATTATGCTCACAAAATTTACATATATTATCCTAATCTGGTTTTCTACAAGCTAATTTAGTATTAATGTCTTATGTATAACTTGCCTAAGATATAAGCCAAATTTTTTCTGCTTTTCGTAATTTACGGTGGTGTGCAAAAAAAAAAGGACAGTTTACAGCATTATCTATAATTTGTACTTGGATTATTCATGTCATGTAAAGAGCTTATCTTTTAGTGTTCTTCGTTTATTATTATGCGTTTATAAGTTTTATCACTTGCAACTTTGAGCGTTATTTTACTACAAAATGGTTCCATATAAACACAACCATTTTAAAAGCAGGAAACATGTAGTTTATTTCTTGGAATTAGGTTGCAATTGTGGTTGTTCAAAAAAGATTCTGAAAGAAAATTTTGCCCCAAATTTTATTGTTTTACCATCCTTGGCTTTAGGTAAGAAGTTAAATAACCAGTTTGGACTATTTGGTCTGAATATGCTCACAGACAAAAATTTCACTTTAAAAAACAATATTAAAATATCAAAAGTCTAATAAAACTGGAATACTAAAATTTTTAGTAAATTAAAAATTTTTTACAGTTGACGAGTATACCAAGATTTTAATAGTCTTAATCAATTTAATATATCCCAACGGAACAACAATGTGGCAAAACTATTGCAAAAATAGTGAGACAATATTGTATTAACTTTACATCAATAAAGTCTATTGCGTCCAGGCTTTAAAATAACTTAATTGGTTTTGCTTGTCGTAAAACTAAAACCATCCAAACAAATGTTATTATTTTTTTTGCGCACTACTGTATATTAATATATACCCATCGTATTTCAATAAATGTATTCGTTAATGTCAATTTTTATGCTTGATTGTCTTGCCAAGAAAATTTGAGTTTAAACAAAACTGTATTTGATTGGGTTATGCAAGATGCCGTAGTGCAAATAATATACTTTATTTTGTGCCCTTAGCAATAAGCTATTTATCTATTTTACGTGTAAAACCTGTATAATTGAAAACCGATGCTGACCAGCAAGACGTATACGTCTGTCGAAATTATGTATGTTCGGATCATGGCAGCGAGTGAAATTTATGAAAATGTTAACTAGTTTAAACTGCTGGTCTTAAACAGTTTATTTTAAATGTATTTTCTATCTGTTTATTGCAAACAGATATCGGCTTAACGGATTTGTTGATTATGCCAACGTTTTTGCAGCCTGTCGTTGCGTAGCATTATAATGCTCATTTCTGTGTGACAATTTGCCAATGGCCAAAATGCATTAAGCAGTATCGAGGTTTGATAAATGACATTTAGACTTGTAACTAAAAAGGCATATCACGATAATTCGATATGATATTTTTGTTATCTGCTTTTTTTTTTAGAATGAATCGCGAACGTTATCATTGTGTTGTTGTTGATGTTGTTGCTGTCGTTGTGGCGACCAATAAAGTTTTGTCTATCCCAAAATATTTCTGTGTGGCGCTACAATTATATTGGCTGCGATTCGTTGCAGCATATCATGCTTGCCCCAGATAACTCAGGAGAATACTAAAAAGTCGAGAAAAAAGACCCGTTTTGTTCCAGAAGCCATCTCACGTAACGCATTCTGCCACGATTACTCACACATGATGAACACAGAAATGGAAAATGAGGATTCTCTCTACCCTATTGCCGTACTTTTGGACGAGTTGAGAGCAGAAGATGTAAACTATCGTTTGAACGCAATAAGACGCCTTTCCACCATTGCATTAGCTTTGGGTGTGGAGAGGACCCGCGACGAGTTAATACCGTTCCTCGAGGGTAAAGCGATTTAAAAAAACTTTTTGAAATAATACATGAGGAAAAGGATCCCTTGATCTACCTTTTCAGTCTCAACCGTTACACTACTTTTTATGTGAATAAACCTACTTAGCGAAAAAATACCATCTCTTCTTTTATCACAGAATCTATCGACGATGAAGACGAAGTTTTATTGGCATTGGCAGATGAATTGGGCAATTTTGTCGAATACACAGGCGGTAAAGAGCATGCACATCTCATATTAGGTCCCCTGGAGAATCTCGCGGCCGTCGAGGAAACGCTCGTCAGAGACAAGGTACCTAGTACGCTTATATCGACAACGCGTTTTCTCTCATCATTCATCGCTTATTCGTTCTAAATTTTTATAGGCTGTAGAATCAATTAATAAAATCGCGAGTGTTCTATCTCAGCAGCAAATAGAAACTTACTACATTCCTTTGGTCAAAAGGTTAAGTGAGGGCGAATGGTTCACCAACCGTACTAGTGCGTGTGGTTTATACGCTACTGCATATAAAAACGCTACCCCTGCTACCCAAATCGAATTGCGAACAGCATTCAAGAGATTCTGTTCAGACGATACGCCAATGGTTCGACGAGCCGCTGCTAAAAACTTGGCGGTTAGTATCATGAAATTTTTAGAGTTTAATTGATTGTACACTATATTTTTTGTCACATGGACTCATCATCTATCCCTTACGCAATGTCACAAAGGCAATGGCCAAAGAAATTTCCAAAGAGCATATCATCAACGATATTCTCCCAACATTTATAAAACTCTCCCAAGATGAGCAAGATTCCGTGCGAGTGCTGACTGTTGAAGACTTGATTTCCATCGCAGAAACGTTGTCGTTGGATGAGATAAAAACCTATCTTCTTACACCTCTTAGAACTATGGTTTCCGATAAGAGTTGGAGAGTGAGATATATGATTGCCGAAAATTTTGTGAGGGTACGTCTAGAGAAAAATGTTGCCATCAGTCAGCCGACTTTTTTTTTTTTCTGTATTGGGCTCCATGTCAATTTATAATATTCTCCCATAGATAACAAAGGCGGTTGGAGAGGAAATCATCCGTGATGAACTAGTACTGGCATTCGTTAGATTGCTGAAAGATAACGAAGCTGAAGTCAAGACTGCCGCGTCCAGTCAAGTGCCAGGTACAAAATAAAAAAGGGCAATCAAGACTTGGAGACAATTTCAGACACGTAATAATTCATCATTCAAAACGTAATTCTAGGATTTGCTCAGTACATCGACAAGCAAATGATTTTGAAACACATCATGCCATGCGTCAAGGATTTGGTCACAGATACATCGCAACACGTACGTGCGAGCTTGGCAACACAGATCAGTGGTTTGGCACCCATTTTGGGGAAAGAAGCGTATGTATGAACCATACGAAATATTATTCTTAAAACCGAGTTTTATGATTATCGAGTAATTTCAACAATGTGATTATTTCTCTTATTTCCAGCACCACCGAACATTTGTTACCACTGTTCTTGCAGTTGCTCAAGGATGAATCACCCGATGTGAGACTCAACATTATATCCAAGTTGGAGCAAGTGAATGAAGGTAATTGTATTGTTTTCCTTTCATTCCCCCATTATGACACGTACTAAAAACGGTTTACGTTAAATTTTTTAGTTATTGGTATTGAACTGTTATCACAGAGTCTTCTACCTGCTATTGTTGAACTGGCCGAAGACAAACAGTGGCGTGTTCGCCTCGCTATCATTGACTACATTCCTCTACTCGCTAGCCAATTGGGTGTTTCGTTCTTTGATGAAAAGTTGGGCAGTCTCTGCATGTCCTGGCTGCGTGATCACGTTTATTCAATCCGCGAAGCCGCCACCGTGAATTTGAAAAAGTTGACTGAAGTATTCGGTGTTGATTGGGCCAAGAATACTATTATACCCAAAGTGTTGTCTATGGGAAGTCATCCTAATTACTTGTATAGGATGACAACTATCTTTGCGATTACGGTATGAGATTCATGTCTTTTCTACGCCAAATGACTGACAAAATGTTGAGTTTTCAATTGCTTTATATTTTTGTAAATTGAATAGACGATGGCTCCAGCGGTAACTCCAGAAGTAATCAGAGACTACATCCTTCCCACAGTCAATAACCTTGTGACGGATCCTATTCCGAATATTCGTTTCAACGTTGCGAAATCTTATGAAGTACTAATACCGGTCCTTAAGCAAAGTCAAGAAACAGGAATTCTGCTGGATACACAAGTAAAACCTGCATTGGATAAACTAAAAGAAGATATGGACGCCGATGTCAAATACTTTGCTGAACGAGCGTTCCTTGCAGGTATGGAATTGTCACTGCTAATTTAACTAAATGAAACTCTTTTACTAATTATATGTTTTTTCAAATTTTGAACTTTTAGTTCAATAGAATCTGAGCGTCCCTTATTAGACACACTGTGGTAAATGCTGACGATGTTCAATTCAATAGAGATTTGAGTTCTTTATTAGGGTCGTACCTATGGTGAATGCTAACGGTGCTGCTAAACTAATAAAGTATACGTAATGCACGTTAGGCATTATACATATCTTACGTAATTAAATTAATAATAAATAAATATAAAGATACATAAAATCTTGATCAAGTTTACTATATTAATATGGTGATGGTGGTAGACTCTTTTTACCAAGAGGTCGGAGGATAGACATTTGTAATCAAAATCTATACTGAACGTGTCATGGTCACAGCTCAGAAGGCATATTTCTGCGAGATTTACATCTGAAGTGTATATATACCAGCTTAAGTGTTGCTCTCTCACTGACCGCACAAATTCTTTTATTTTGTAATTAGCAGTTAATTAAGTATTAACTCTGTAGTGTCTGTGCATGACTATGTGTATTTTCTAGATTAGTCAATTTATCTATTTTTATTAAGGGGGACTTAATGCCAAATAGTTCGTGACAGATTCTTAGCCAATGCCAACCTCACCACTGTAAGGTTGTCATCAATTTCATCGTAACCTCTATCTCCTTTATACCATCTCCTGACCTTTTCAATGCAAGCAAGGAATTCTTCTCTGTGATGAGAAGTCACTTCTTGTAAAATACGAAGGACTTCCGAGTTTTCTTCTGCATTAAATACAACTTCTTCACCCGGATTCTCTCCTAAAATATTCAGTTGAAAAATAGTATCAGTTTAGATTCTTATAAACAGGCATTTCTAGAACAACATGTTACCTTGTCGTAATAAGGGCAGTGAATTGATTAATAATATTGGCCAGAATCTTCGTGGCGCGATATGCGATTTCAACATATCTACTAAAGCCTGACCAGCTGGTCTGTATTGTCGTGTCTGCAAAATCATTTTCATGTCATTAAGACATAACAGAACAAGAAGTATGATGGGAGAGATGAATTCTTGTCAACTGACCTTTAGCAGCTCATGGAAGTTTCTGTATTGGGCCAGGAAGTTGATAGACTCGTCCGGTTTTTCACATAAAGAGACGCTATCAATAACGTTTACGTACGTCAACTCTCCTGAAAGTACAAAAGCAGTAAGAATCTTTTCCATTGACTTGAACTTCATGACTTGCATGATTCTACCTGTCTCTATATACTCATCTAGAAAGTTGTGAGCGATTTTTGTTAATCGAGGTGTGTCGCCTGCTCTGGTATAATATAATATTGCCGATGCATATCGTTTTTCTTCCATATGCTTGCTTGCTACGCGCTTAAAAATCATCGGACTTAGCAACGAATAGTAATAAAAGCTCTTCGTTAACTGCGTGATGCATATAATCCTTCTGTCCAATTGAATAATACCTTGCAAATGATCCTTGCTTCCTCGTGTAATTCATTGACTTTGCAGATATTCAAAATTTTTTGCGTTTTCCATTCTGAATCTGTGGGCATTCTGACTATAAGCTAATATAACGCAAAAAGTTGATTTGGTATAAGTAAACATTTCGCCGATACTATTATGCATATTACCAAGCGCTGACCTGTTGCATGTATGATCGTCCGAACAGTGGGCAGTGACGGAAGTACTCAAAACCAACTTGCCACACAGACGTACTAGTGACGAGCAGTTCTGCATAATTTAATAAATAGTACTCGCGGAGACTGCATTGAGGTCTGTGATCCAGTCAGGAATAATATTATCACGCTTTGAATGCATCTTCAATGTTTTCAAATAGAACGTAAAGGATACTGAATATTATTTATGGATAGAAATCCGTCGTTTATTGTGGATGTGTCCACAAATTTCAGCTTTTGAAACATATCGGCCAAATGTGCCGCCAACCATATGTCGATATTTTCGCATATTCCTAAACCCTATAGTTGACGGAAGAATGAGTATTTGTTCCACGTAATAGAAATTTAACCGTTTGGAAACCGAATTACATTACTTCTTCTATCTCCACCCGTAGGAAAGCCCTCAGCGCCAATTCGACGTAATTATTTTCCTCTAAAGGGAAAGTTTGCAGAACGGCCTCCAAGAGTTCTCTAAGTAATTATGAATACAAATTAACACGAGTGATTCATTGTCCGTGCCACACATCCGTTGTTTGGTTATAATTCAATACCGTAATTCAGCATGAGAAACATTCGAATGCCCATGAGCGATCCAAGCGATCAATGCTTCTTGCCATGAAGAGCAGTGTTGAAAGACAGTTTGCATATCTGCACACAATATGTTTACAATGGTAATTATAGAGTCCTGTGTATTTTTATCCGACAATTCCAAACTATCGGCAAAATCTCTTTAACAAATAATGATAATCCAGTAAGTAATACTGACAGTTAACCAGAGAAATCAACAAATAGATGCCCACCTGCACGTCTTTTGCCACTGCCCAAGTCTGTAATCAAATTCTCTTCCGTAGTATTGCTCGATACGAGGTTTAGTATTTAGACATCCATATAGCTGCTCCACTGCTTGCCTCTCTGCACTTATTTCAGAACTTCGAATCACGCTTTCAAGCATTTTATTTACTAATGAATTATTTCTTACAATTAACCTGAATTCAGACAATAACAATATTAATATTTCGTCAACATTCTGCCAGCATCTTTGTGTATCTCTTACTTTTGAACACAAGCCCACAAACGCGGTTCTTCCAATGGTTGTGGAGATTCTCGTAATCTTGTTATATCCATTTTGGAAAATTCTGTTAAAATTTTTTTTTTAAATTTAATCTCACGAGTTCGTTCTGTAACCGTACAATGTCAAACAATAATAAGCTAAACATAATATGCTGTTTTACCTTCAATTGGAAAACATTCGTTCATCCATCCAATGAGCGCACTACCCAGTCTGGCCGATTTACGTTCTGAGCCCATAAATAGTACTCTACATAATTCCCATACGGTATAAATATCGGTGGTTGCTCGTTTCACCTCTGGAAACTGTAAAAATTGCTCAATTAATCCAAAATATTAACGATCATAACGTTAAGTGATTCTTTTATATTTACCTTAGAAACTCGCGCACAATGAGCTCTAATAATCGATGAGTATTCAGTACTAATTTCATCCATTGCACGTTCGTGAGCATTGAGAAAAACACTTGTAATAGTATAATATCAAAACGCGTCATCAGGTCAGCCTTAGAGTAAGTAATTGCATAATATCAGCCGTAATTACACGTGGTTACCTGTCTCCCCCCATTTTTGATCGAAGGCGAATGGCGTCAGGAGGCCGCTGTGCAACTGCAAAGACGGCATAACCATCATTATAAAGCTAGGCGGCATACATAAGTTAGATAAATAAATACAAAGTTTACCTCTTCACACGGTTTTCGCCTTAATCATACTCACCGACCTCTGCAATTTATTAATATCGGTCAACGCATATTCATAGATCCGTTGATCAAGTGACCATGTGTCTCCTTCAAACTAAAATCATTTACTACTTAATACCGTAAGCACTCACGGATCAAGAAACAGTGTATGAGATAAAGGATTTACTTGAAACACCTGCATGTCAGTTGGTTCCTTGGCGGCAATATAAATAGCCAATTTATTATTGCGTAATGGAGCAAATTTAGTCGCGACTGTTCTACGAGAATCTGGCCATTTGGGTAAAGAGTCTTCTTCTGCCGACGAATCGATAAGATGTATTTCTCTGTGGTCGTCTCTCCCGTTAACTGACCATGATCTCGAAGTTTCGGCACCCAAGCTAAAATGAGGCCTACCAGAGTCTATTTGAGAAATACTCTCTGTCGACTCACCGGGGAAGTGCGTTGCTGTCCAGGAATATTCACCATTCTCTTGTGAGGAAAAGTTTGACATATTCAAATCGCGATAAAACAAACCACCAAAAAGCAAAAAGTTTCTCTCCAAACCTTGTTATTTTACCTCAAAAGTTGACGTCGTACGTTCCACGTTAATTTGTGTAACTGATGATCATAAGCACGCCAATCACCCATTTACATTATATTCCCTTAACTGTTTGTTTCCCCCTCCACACACTCTTAAAACGTTCAAATGAGTCAAACGAACTTGAGAACTGAAGCCGAGTCCGTGGTGAATGCAAATAGCGTTTGTAATAGTGAGAGTGAAGCAGACAAATGCACGCTACAGTCAGAAGATTTTGAAGAGATCACAGGCATATCTTCACAAAGTCGTGTTTCAGGTAGCTATTCTTTTGGAAAAGGAGAATTAAGACGTCGCAATACAACAACGCTTACAACAAGAAGAGCAAGTATTAGTATTGATACTGGCACTCCTGCTGGCTTGTCCTCAGCTTCGAAGGATCAGCAGAATACACTGGCAGAAAAGAGCAGTTCAAGCACAACAGAGAGCGGTACGCATGGTAATAGTTCAGAGTACGAATGCAATATATGGTAAGAGTTTATAAACTTTAAACTGGACTCTGTGAGGCTTTACGAATTTTGTATTGTTTGTATGTATCAAGTTAAACTCGTTGCCTTTTCCCTTTAGTTTTGACACGGCGTCTTCCCCAGTATTGACATTATGTGGCCATTTGTTCTGGTATTTAACGTACAAGTTCAACGGAATGTTGTTTTATAGTTTCGAATGTAAATAACTAACTATCTTATTATTTATAGCTGGCCTTGCTTGCATCAGGTAGAGTATTCAATTATGTACTTTTGCAGGCCAGAATCTTGTAAATTTGGATATTAACGACGTCTTTGTCTGCAGTGGCTAGAACAACAGTCACAGAATCCTTTGTGTCCAATATGTAAAGCTGGATGCGGTAAAGATAAGGTTATTCCTATATATGGGAGAGGTAAAGAAGCCAAAGACCCAAGGTAATTTTGAAAAGTCCACATTGATGTTTCGCTTACCAAAACGTTGAGTCATTGAATTGTTTATCGCTTAATTTCCTTCAGGTTAAACTCGACTATTCCCAATCGTCCGGCTGGCCAGAGACCTGAACCACAAAGAGATCCTAATCAACCGGGAATTCCATTCTTCTCAGGGACAACATTTCATTCTGCAACATTTGGTCCTCATTTTTCATTTTCTGCCACTTTCAGCATATTTCCTACATTATTGGGGGCTCAGTTTGTAAGTAGTACTAATTTTTATGCATGTGAACGCGTGATTATAATTGGCTGTCACCCAGAGTATTCATATTTCGATGTGAATGCATCGTACGATGATTAACCATCATGAAATATTCCGTACAATTACTAATTCACATTAACACCTTTTCTCCGTCTACAGTCATTTCCTTCACAACATACCGTCAACGTAGTTGGAAATGCACCTCCATCTCCTCAACAGGCTTTCTTATCTAGAATGTTGTTAATGTTTGGAGTTCTGATGATTGCTGTCTTTTTTTTTCATTGATATTTAATTCTGATATATAAATACTATACTTTCAGTAACTGATATTGCTTAATAAGTTTTTGTAAGTTGAGAGGCAAAGTGTTATCACTTCAGCTTACTATAATAATAATAATTACGTTGAATCATATTTGGAGATTCTTCGTGTGGAATTGTAAATATAGATGTAATTGCATTCTGTGTTATGGGAAGGATTGCCCATGACACAGCTTACTTTAATAATGTATCGATCACTGAGAGACGCCTAAGCGAGCTCTGCACAGTGTTAAGGAATTAAAAAGAACTTAATAAACCAATTGTGATCGATCACTACGAAACCGAATACCCCTTTGTCATTGTTACAGTGAATTGCCGATGCCAATACGCTGTCAGGAAATGCAGCTCATCAGATTGCCTTGGAGTGTTTGAGCCACCATACTAAATCAAACGACGATTAAGTTTTTTGAGCGATAATTTGATGATGATGCGTTTCTTTACGACAATTATAGGAGATTCGCTCTTTTTATATAATTATTCGATGACTATATAATCATACTTTGGTTTTTATGAATTACTTAGTATTAGTGGAATTATCGGCATTCATAATAGATCTCCAAACATGGAAATAGATTAAATTACAAAAATAAGTAATACCAAAGACTCGTGGGTGTATCGGACATTATTGTTCACTAATTAATGGAATCTGTAACATTTGTCTGCATATGTAGAGGGCGATTAAATAGCATTTCTTGTTCACAAATCGAGATTTTAATTTTGCAAGATTGTCGGCGTATAAACAGTTCAATTACATTATTGTTCACTATCAATAGATTTTAATTTTGCAGTGTACATATGTATATAGACGGTTCAATTACATTATTCAGAGATTTAATTTGCGAGCCTTGTGGGCATATGGACAATGCAATAACATTATTGTTTACCATTTAATGGGTTCTTATTGCTAGTCAAATTGAGTGTTAATTTGATAATTAAATTAATATTAATATTAATGGGATACTAATACTAAGCATAAACTCGTGATTTGACTAATTTAAATTATTGATCGCGTTTTTGATAGATCGACAAGTACCCCCAAATTTAGGCTGCGTTTTTGATACATCCGCACGTTTTTACTGATCTATCCGTTGCGTATTGGCTAAATTAAGCCATGCCATGATGTCAGACTAATATTCCAAGACTCTCCCATCCTCTTTACATAACTTTTTGCAAACACCTAAGACCGTATTTCATCACAATTTGGCGTACGAATTATTCGATCGATATCGATTCCAGTCGGTCGCCTTTTCAGATGGTGCAGCTGCGATGGCCGATGCTTGCAAAATTAGCGTTACCATAGAATGGAAGATGGTTCTATTCCACGATTTAATTGATTGATTATTGACAGCGCATCGTGGGCGGGGAGTCGCGTTTGAGAAATTCTGTTACAAGAATGCGTAAATCGGTCAAAATTAGCTATATATCCGTTGAAACCAACAAGAGTATTGGGCGAGAGATTCAAAGAAACATTTCGAGGTATACAATTCAACATCTTTTTCTCGAGATCCAAACTTATTATATGCTAACGCATGTACGTTTCATACGTCTAGAATAACCCGATGGAAGGGAAATAAAATTATTAGCTTACCTGATTCGCAGCCAAACTATTTCCATACGCGACATCTTCTTTCCTCGGACTCACCAGGTTCGCATAGCGGCCGTGAATCAAGGTATTATCTGTACCCCAAACGTGGTCCATCATTACGCGGGCATGGTGGTCGTGCATGGAACCATCTAGAAGTGACGATGAGGATCGGAAGACGCATCCCGTGTTCATTAGGGACATGAGAACTACAGCTGTCGTCTGTCAGTTTGGAATTTATGTCAGACGGGAAGTTAAGTCCATTCCGAATGGACATATGTCAGATTGGGGATAGTAAAGAAAGTCTTTAATTGACAGTACGAGATCAACCTAATTGCGTATAAACAACACCTTGTTTGGGATATATTCCAGCCTCTGCAACGCCACTGTCAAAATCGTGGAACCATAGCAAGCGTGAACGCTCTGGGTAGTATAAATCATTGAAGCAACTGCAGAGGAGGTTTCAATATTGTAAGACTTATGTAATTTTCTAGTCCTGGTTTATTGAGACCCTTTTTTTTATTCAAAACATTCAGTGTTGAACTACTTATGTGTTTGTGTGCTTTCTCGTAAATGAGATTTATTTGTTTGTTCGTGAAGTACATATTCAGAGTTTGCGAGTAATGTTTGACTACATAAGTCTCGTAGTTGAATGAGAGAAGTCTTCCTGTCGTATCTTCGATGATTTTTGTGTTCGTCATAAACTTTTATTGGGGTAACAATATCTTCGCTGCCGTAAAGATCGTGCCTTTTATTTTGGTCGCTTGATGCTTCGTAAGCCATACCGCATATATTGGCCGGTCTCGCGGATTTGATATTCGAGAGGGTCGACTGTAATAATAATTAGCATTAGCGAATCTGTTAATTTACTATATGTAATTTCTTCCACCAATAAATGTAACAATCTCTCAAAATTGACAAAAAAAAGGCGAAAACAGTGCTATCGATATTTAACTGTACTAAGTAATCTACATTCACATTATTAGCACATGTACCATGGCATGGTTACTACCGTTAGCGTCCATAACTATAATGCGTCCATCCTCAACCAACCACTGCATTGATCTTTACCTTAGAGCGGCCAACAAGTCGTCGCCCGGAATGTCGACTCATGAATGAGAAACCAGTCGTCGTGCCCGGGCAGCGCGTATATGTCGTGGACGTAGAATATGGAGCGAAGCCGCATTAGCGGCGGTTGCCCAATGCGACGGAGTATGGACATGGACAAGCGTCCTCTGTAGATAACTGAAACAACAAGGCGGTGGCGTCTTGTGTTTATTCTGAAAGTGTGTTGTTTCATCGTATATAGTCTCCATAACAAAGTGGGTCGGGAGCATAGCTGGAAAATGCTGGGAAATTCGGTTTAATGGGTTTTAATTAGTATATTCGGTTTATTGGGGTAAATTTATTATAAATGTTTTAGAACTTACCTTCGGTTTAGCGAGGTTTTACTTAGTCCCTTCGGTTAGGGTTCGGATTAAGGGGTTGACTATTCCTATTAATATATAGTATACAGTGTGGGACAAAAAATCTTTGCCTTCGATAGTCATGTGTTGCAACTAGCTTAGAGGTTATCCGTAGTTAGGCAAAAAAGCTCTAAAATACTCGATATTCATGTTTGAATAAATGATGTTTACTGTATTCAACGCGTATCGCGTCTTGTAAGCTTTTTGTTTTCTCATTGCACTTTATCTGTTACGTTGTCAATTATTTTTCAAACAGCTATTCAAGTTGCTTTACATTTCTGGAATCATGAATCATCAATCCACACTTCCATAATATCACAATATAGCAATAATCGATTCGATCAAAGGCGACACAAACTAGTCCCGACGTCTTGCACTTATCGCATATCGAGCATACTCCTTTCAACACTTGAGCAACTTCTACAGATCCTCTGTATGATCGGTTTACGAGTTTCAAATGGCGCATTTCTTCTTATAAGCAAATTCTCGGGCTTTAAATCTGTAGAAAAAGAAGAGGAAATTAGCAATTAAAAAAGTTAGATATTTCCGTCAACGTTTACGTTGTTATCACTCGTTAGGACAATTGGGAGCCGTTCACTTGCCCGACAGTTACTTGCCCGACAGTCATTTGCCCGACAAATATTTACCAGCATTATTTCAAATTTATCCTTTTTTGGTAAATTTTTGTCGGGCAAATGGTTGTCGGGCAAGTGACTGTCGGGCAAATGACCCGGACCCGCGGGAAAGATTGACTACCGTTCATATTAATAATGTAATTTCCGTACTGATTTTACAAACACCGAATTCTTTTTAGGGCTTGGAATTTGAAATGGGAGAGATTGTTGATTTCGCCAATTCCATTATGCGACTGCCCTTATATTTATATTAATTTATTTTATAAATTAAAGCATTAGTGGAATAACTTCCATGCAATCTTTCTATTTATGCTACCAAAAATAAACAAAAGAAAATAAATCGTGGCGCGTTACATGTGCAGACTCTTACAAAATCAAAATTAAGCAATATATGAAAATATAATACAATTAAACGCTTGATGTTGAGGGACCGAGCAATTCAAATCACAAGCTAATAAAGAATGAATTGGCCAAGTATGTTAGCTCATAAACCACTTTCTCACGACGGGTGTAGCGCCCAACGTTGGGTGAAGCAGAATGTAAGTCAAGAAATATTCCAAGTCTTTCCGGCGACGCTCAACAAATGCAGTACCGAATTTGCCTAAAAACAAAATGAATTGTTCAAATTTAGATAAATGACCGGAAATAACTAAATCTCATATGGTCATGGCATATGCTTAATTACCAACGACTTTCTTTGGTGGTAGTTTAGGAATTAAATTCTTGAAATGCGGTTGGGCCTTGGATAGCTGAGTTCTCAACTTGACAAACTCAGAATATCGCTTCCTAACCGTTATGCTTGTTCCCTACGTATTGTTACGTCGGAAGATGAGACTGGGACGTTCGGGGACGAAAGTCTTGGCGATTATTTATGTTTCGATTCAACCATACCTCTGGTCCCTTGACGGTGCATGTGTATTCTATATATGATCCATAACCGGCTCCTACTCTCAACGGGTCACTTACAGTAACCTCCTCGGCAAACAAGTGAGTAGGTTTATCTCTGGCAAGACTAATTTGTGTCGTCGGATATGATGTATTAGTCAGAATCGGTGAGGATATTGGTGAGGAACTGCCAGAAGACAGTGAAGGTGCAAGAGACGACACATCGTCATTATCGCCCTTTGAAAGCAAAGCATATAGAAACGTCAGATCTTGGTTGCTTACTGAAATAACATACGAACCCAGCCTTCTCATAGACTGAGCCATAGTAATAAGAATAACAATAATAAGAAATAACTACGAGAACAGCCGACAGCTAGAATTAACTCATTACCGACTGCGATTGACCATCATCTTCTATTACTGTGTCAAGAGCCATTACAGAGTTATGAAAAATGTTCGCCCTATTCATCAGCTTCTCTGTCATAGTGGATAATTCTTCCGTGTCGACAACCTTCCCACGGTCTACACTACCACCATCATCATCAACGTCCTCTTGCCTCTCGACAGCATCTACAAACTGATCGCTCATCTCCTCTGAATCCTGGCTTATTATCTGAGTAAGCTGCTTTTCAGCATTTGAACTCTGATTATGTCTATGCAAACCGCCTTTATTTTTGTGACTTGAAACGTTGGGTTTATTTGTTGTAGTCAGATCTTGCGATACAGATGTCGTTGTCGTAGCTTTTGGCGGTGCTGCTCGCAAGCCCAGATTACCAATAAACAGGCGAGCTGCAGAAATGCCCTCAGAATCCAAAGAATGACGACGGGTCAAGTCGGCACGCAGATTTGGCTTTTGAGTGTCAGCAGAAGGATCAAACGGAGTCGAATTGCTTATGCGACGAGGTTTATTATAATTGCTGGCAGTATTGCGTGTTGTAATTGTGATTTTGGGCTGGTCATTGGAAACAATTTTCCTCGAAGAGGTGAAGCTATGGTACGCGCTGTTACTCTGATATGCAAGTTCCTTTCGGGATGATGAAGATACAAGCGATTCCGATTTGGCATCATCAATGGACGCAACTAGATAATTTTTTGGAGGGAGAGAAAAGGGAGGGAAGAGAAGCAAAAAGTCAGATAAGTCAGACAAAGCACATACCACATTTATCGCTTGTTATTTATTACTAAAATAACTTACGATCTAGTCCTTTTTTAAGCAACGTATGTAGATGTTCCATAACGACTTGAACATAATCAAGCCAATCACGAGTAGGTGAGCCGTTTTGTTGTTTCATTTGGTCTCTGACTTCTGTCAGCTCACTAACGGCTGTACGTATCTCGCGTCGGACTTCCAGCACTGCAAATATATGAATGAACATTGTATATTATTAAATTCGCTTATGATCGGATCGTCTTGTCGTAATGCTATAGTCTGTCTTGAAACGACCAACGTATACGATTGTGTTCATTAATCAAAATAGTTATATGCAATGATAACGGTCAACGCGAACAAACATCTTTTTTTTTTTTGTATTATGAGTATACGAGTAGAGAGAATAATCGTCTTTAATTACCATGTAATGAGCGTGAGGCAAGCTCTATATCATAGTTTAAACTATTATAGTCTTCGTCTTTGTCTCTTCGTACGAGACTACGCTGCCTTATAAGACTGTCCGTCTGCTTTTGCAATAATGCTAAGGGGAGATCACGAATATTTAAAACTCCAGGCTTTTATTTCGTCTGCCAAAGACGCATTTAGTCGAAACATACCAGTTACATTAGAAGATAAATCTAATAGATCTTGAACCTGAGCTTGTAACTCCATCAAAGAAGAAAACAATGAAAGAGAGAAATGAAAGGTCACCAGAGCATAAAGTGAATCGGCTGATAAATTAGAAATATTGAGGGCTTGCTTTACACAATGATACAATCTGTGTTTAATCTGTTTGTAAATGTTTTTATGTAATAGCCATGTAGTAGTAGTAATAGGGGGTAAACATCCCGATCAAGTGCTTTGTGTAACTTTGATGATCGTTCAAACTCAGACAGTCTCAAAGTAGCGCTTTAATTCCCAGTTCGTCACGCTAGTCTCCCATAGCCTCCACTCATGCAACCGACTCTTACCAAAATGATCAACAAAGCGATCACCCAGAACCTTCCGCGCAATCGAGTCCTTTTCCATCATAGTGAGGGTTGCCTCTTGCAAAGTCTTGGCCAATCTATTCCCTTCATTCTGACGTAAAGGCTTGTCGCCCATTTGGCTCCTTGCATAAGAGACAGGCGGAATAGGAATCTGCAGTTGATTCTCGATCCCATACAGTCCACTAGCCAAAGTAGCAGCAATGGCAAGATATGCGTTAATGTCAGCACCCGGCACGCGCAATTCTATTCGTGTTGCAGATGGAGAACTTGTCGGCGGAGCTATGACACGAATTGCTGCGGTGCGGTTCTCGAAACCCCTGTTTAATGTTTTCTCGGAAATGAGCACTTTTTTTGGAAATTTAATCGCGAACAAAAGAATGACGTGTTCATGTCTTACCAGGATACGTTTACGGGTGCCCAGTAATTTTCCACGAGGCGTTTGTAGCTGGATTTTCATCGTAGTTTCAGAACGATTCGTTAAAAAAGATCTCAACCGTACAAGGACAGGCACTCACCTGTTTACAGTTGGTGCCAATAATGGCATGATACTTGGTAATCCAGTTAAAACACCCGCGACAAAGTACTTCATTGTCTCGCTCATGTTTTTCGTATCTTCCCATTCATTTTCTGAAATCTCGTTGACCTCTTGTGCAGAGTCTTGCTTTGTCTCATCGTTGACAATTTTTGTGAATGCGTTCTTGCCTGTATCCATGTGCTTCAAAGAGAAATGCAGATGACCCGAGCATCCTGGCAATCTGTGATTTGGCTTAGCCATAAAGGTAGGCATGACATTGTAACGGAGAATACCAATTTGCTTAACAGCCAATTTAAACAGAGTGGCCATATCAGCCATTTTTACGGCCGGAGAATATGCCAGCGCTGCTTCATAAACGCCTGGCCCTAGTATCGGTCACTGTTAATATGAATGCATTCCCTAATATTTTACGTTTCGTAACATCTTCGAACCTGTTTCTGTGTGGAGACCTTCAATCGAGACGCCGAAATTGTTGCATTCGTCTAAAATGTCGTAAAAGAAGCCTTGGTTCGACGTTGGTCGGAATAAACTATATCCGAACATTCCTTATGGGTGTACAATAAACAAAATAATTTCAGACAAGCAAGGTCGTATCTCGATATTACTCTCTTCAACGTAAACATACCTGGTGTCAATGGTTGTGGCGATATGTGGTCCTTTGCAGCAAGTGACTCGGGCGTCTCTGAGATAAACGAAGACGTGACGCTATGACGCAAGTTTGCACCCGGCAAACAGCTTAAAAACCCATATTACTGTCTAACCTTTAAAATTGAAGAATT